AGTGTACCACTTTATCATCTCAAGAAACTCCTGCTAGTGCGTTCAGAGGATGTGCAGTTTTGTTTCAATGGCAGCTTATATCGACAAGTTGACGGTGTGGTGATGGGAAGCCCACTAGGTCCAGTGTTAGCTGATATATGAAGAGGACATCTAGAAGAAACAAAACTTCATCAACCAACACACGATTTTGACGACACGTTTGTTGTTGTCAATGACAATGATCGAGCAAAAGAAATACTAAAATCGTTTAACTTCTGTCACCCTAACATCAAGTTTAACATAGAACATGAATCTGAGATCTCCTTTCAATTCACGGATGTTGAACTCACGAGAAGAGAAGATAATTCTCTCATCAGGTCTACAGTTCACAAACCAACTTGGACCGGACAGTGTTTGAACTTCAGAAGCTTATGTCCAATACAATACAAGCAAGCCCTAGTAAAAGAGCTCATTTTCTAGAGCGAAACGAATTCGTTTTGCAGAAACACTTGAACTGATGTCCTGTGCATTACAGAATAACGGCTTGAATATCCCATCCAACTCAATCGCCCAACACATGTTGGATTGCAGACTTTGCATCGATCCAAAACAAGCATTCCGAGTATTAAACCAAAAGAAAACTGGGCCGATGTTACGGTTTGCTGAGTCAGTCGCCATTTGGCGTCAAAAACCAGACCTCTACAAAGAACTAAGCTTTGTCGCCAGCTTCACCCTTCTACGATAGACTGTGGTTCCGATCGATAGACATGTTTTCCCAACCTTTAGCTCTTTTCAACCCAATTGTGACTGCTGACCTTTGACCTTCGTATTGGATTTGCCTATTCTAGTGTTTTTGCTGTTTAAAAATTCTTCATAGTCCTGATCGAACGTTCACACGAATGTTTGTAAACAGCTGAATAGAGGAACGCGAAACAGTTGAATTCAACCTGCTCTCTGTGATAATGCTTGTTCTCGCCCTTATAAAATTCCTAAAGGGAACTCAACATATGAAATTCACAAAGCTATACGTTTAGCTGCTCACCAGTTGGTAAACGTCACTCGCGGAATATCGTCTCGATTTACAATGGCAAGTGGTTTATTTAATCTGCCCACTGGCAGATCACCACTCACAAAACCTTTCAATACAACTTAAATGAATAGATTTTGTCTTGTTATTCTCACTGTTTCTGACAGTGACCTAGTCTACTTGATATTTAGTCTTTACGAACCATTGGGAGCACTCATTACTAAGGTGTTTTTGTTTGACGGTTTTCATTACCTCTTTTATTTATTTACTGGCACCAATTCGCCGAATCCTAGATGTCGGACATTGAATAGACTGAACTTGTACTTGAGAAGGACAAAGCGAACAAAACGGATAGAGTGTACGTGCCAAGTTGATCAAGGGAAGATAGAACGATGCATCTTTTCAGTATCACTTTTCTTCGGCGTCAGACTGAAGGTTGTTCCTTTTGGCTACTTCTAAACAAACAAACAAATGGAATTTATGAGCCAAAATATGTAGCAGTTTGCAATAAAAAAAATTGGTAAACCGTAGTGACAAATTTTGACGTCGGTCTATTGATGATTGATATTCTTTAATTAATTTTGTTTGTGTAAAAATTAATTATTTATGTGAATCAAATTAAGAACGTTAGGCTTCTTGATTTATCGCTAAATTATTTTACGGATTACTTACCATATTTATTTCTTATAGACATGCAATTATTATACTACCTCAACGAATAGAAATGACCTGTTTATATTTCGATTGAGTCAATGTGAGGTAATGGTTAGAAAGTGAGCGTTCTGTTTAAAATAAAGGGTTATGGTTCTCATCCTTAGTTAGCCAGTTCGATTCAGGTATAACTGGGTACATAAAGAACATAATGTAGTTCATGTTGCATAGTGCTTCTCTCTTTAGTATTTGTTTTTTATGCAGTTTGATACTCTTACAATCAATCCATACCAAACTGTTTTGGGTGTTTCAGACAGCAGCAATAGCCAAATTTTTGCAGCCAGTTTTGTTGAACGCTTGTGAATTATTTCAGTGCGCGTCACATACAAAGGATATCATGTGTGACCAAACTAGTTGCACATCAAAATATCCCCTCCCTAGTCCCCATTAGAAGCGCATGTAGTCGGAGTGACCAAATGCACAGTTCGTTAGACCTAGCCAAAATCTGTGTACCGTATGTTTAGTGGAGTAGGGAATGTACCAAACATGGAGGTAACTCAACTGTAAGACTCCACATTCTGATGTGCTTCCTCGAGAAAACTTTCCCAAAAAAACTGGACGGAGAACTAGGGTCGAATGAGACTGATTCGTTTGATCTTTGAATTGACCGATTGAAAAAAGGAGGGAACTGAAGTTATGTGGCTGATACTCAATGCATTAGTTGATACATTCCAGTTGATGAACAACTACCTATGACCTTCATAGACAGGTTAGAAGCGAATAATGATAACCGGTCTTATTATTTACTCGTTGATCGAGGGGTAGTATTCTTTCATTCTACCTGTGAGTTCCCGGGTTAGATCCCCAGTTCGGTCGAGGGCTTCCCACTGCTGATGAGACCCAAACAAGTCAAAACAACTATACAGTGTTTCTCAAATTTTCAGTTCACGCTTCAGTTGATCTGCAAACAACGGAACTCACCGTATAATTGAATCAAACCCCGATACCATCATGTAAAAGTGAAAAGTCGTATAAAGGAGCTAATGAACCCGGATGAATGCAGATTACTTCTCTTATCCTCGATTGCATGTGTCCCATGCTGATAGTGAAAGCTTTGCTCAGGGTCAATGTCACATAATGAAGACTAGCCGAAATGCTCAAAGCGATGCTGAGGGTGATCTGCGAGAAACGAAAAATATCATTCTCACGTTACTATATTCACCGCGGTTTGGAACAATTGAAGCAGGAGAAAATGGTATAAAAATTTTCTCTTTAGATTGTCCAAGCACTGCGTGTGAAGAGCGACAGATAGAAAGGAATAGCCTTGCCTTTGAGGAACATTGCGATTCGTTCATGTCCATCGGAATTTGTGAACCTCATTCCTCGATTAAAAGATCAATGATCAACATCATAGCCGTTTGGGTTTATGGTGGTTTTTTATTCTGTTAAACTTTCAGCCAACCATTGTTGTTCTATCATGAGTTTCAATCCTTGGAGGTTCACCTGTTGCTCACAATTGGACAATCGATGTCAAACAATTTTTTTGAAGTTAAACGTCTTTTCATCATGACAATATTAGATCATAAATTATTATCAATAACCTGTTTGGAGAAATTTCGATTCCATCTTTATCAAGGTAAAAACCCTACGCTTAATCATCTTCAATGGAAACTGGATAACTGACTACTTTATCTGAATAAATGTGACGCCTGTAAATATCCGTGCCCTGCTGTACAAAATCAGTGAGAAACATCGTCCGAAAATCATTGTGCAAATCGTCGTCATAATCATCATCTTGTTGATATATTTTAGTCGATGTTTGTTTCACTTCTTTTTGTAGACTGTGCAATGATTTCCAGGAAGTGGAATGTGGTCTATTATAGAGGTGCCGTATAACAGGCAGACCACAGGAAAGTCATTCGGTGGTGGTGGAATTCAAACACCAGTCCCTGGGAGCAAACATTTGCTTCACCCCTCACATCATCATCACCATTAGCTTCGCGATTTTGTTCACTGAAGTCCATCAGCCAATTTTATTATAATAGTAGAGCTCTTTACCAAGTTGTCTTCAACGATCGTTTCACCCGGATTTGTGCTTGAAGAAACGTAGAATGCTCACTTACCCATTAAATGCAAAACACTTGCAATAAATGCCATCGCTTGCATCATCTGATTTCACAGATCGACGACGTAAAACGTTATCTGTTTTCTACTATATCAATAGTACGCGCTTTAGTGGTCTGACCTCATGTAGTCTACATGTACAATCCAGTAATCTCAGTTTGATGTTTCGAATTCCAGTAAAAGTCGAGTAATATTTTACGGATAACAGGTAATATCTTAATAAAGAATGTATTATGTATCCGTTTCACAATCCAGCCGGCACAAAACGCATTAAGAGAATGCAGTAGGTTTCGAAACCACAAAAGGCGGTCTGTATTTCTAAATTCTTAGATAACTAAAATATCAGGATCGGTTATCGGAAGCCCTCAGTGCTGCAGGAAACAGCATACACCAGAACATGTTTATTGTTTCGAATTTGTCTCAAGTTGCGGTAGGTCTTTTGAATAGTGGGCATGGGTCTTCGAATGAAGTCTTCCAAGGATCTCTCGTTTTTAATTTTTATACACCCGGTTTAATTTCTGAGGTCTACTNACGTTCAACGTTACACGTTTGACTTCGTGCACTAAATGGATGGAGTATAACGATCAGATTTTTCGCCGATAGTTGCAGTCACATAGTTTAAAAAACAACGTTTCATGTGTTTAAGCCTTTTAGTTCCAGATTGAATTTCCCTCTGTGTAACAGTCATCACTTTAGAGAATAACCGGATCGTTCTACTTTTGAGTACAGTCACTGTGGTCAATTTTTACAGTGTTCGAATTTTGATTCCGAGAATATCTACGTTTAATGCGAGTCCATGGTTTTGAAACCGAAGTAAAAATCCAGTGTATTTGTTAAAATATATACATATATTCAAACCACATAATAGTTTCTTCCCATCAATCATTTTCGATCAAACCTCTCAATCACATGAGTCAATTGATTAACCGTGTACAAACGGCTTTGATGTTACTTTAGTCCTATATGTACAAATTTATCCATTTTCTGAATTTTGAGTCCATGTTTGTAAATATTTGCAATACTGTGACCAAAATATGCCACTGTGGTTTTCTGTGTTGATGCGAAACCGCTGTTTGAATGGCGGTGAGCGGTTTCATGCACCCATGCTGCGTTTGCCAGAGCACACTGATAATTCCCATATCAATCGGTGGCGGTTTTTCAAAACTACATTGTCATGACTCCGGTCAGGTTGCATCCACTGCAGACGGTGTGTGTGCCGTCAAGTTGCCTGACTTCGGGGATATGCAATGCATGATTTTGGCTGGCACGTTCGTCGAACTATGGTGTTACGGAAGTCCCTGTTGAGAAACAGATATACAAAGAAGTTCAGGGCAAATGCCAAATGGGACAGATTGATTGTGATCATACGATAAAACTGATGTGCAACACATTGATCCAGTCGGTTTGTGGAACAGATGCCCAGCGCAGCAAAAACACGGATATAGGCCAGGGAAAGTGGGACCTGGCCAATCAAAAACAGTAGGATAACAGCAATAAGAAGAATGGTCAATTTTTTCTGAGCCGCTCTCCTTTTCTGCGATCGCTCAAATTTACCAGAACGCTGATCCGGTTCGCTTGGTGTCAGGTCAACGTTTGCAGATGGACGTCGAACGGAGTCACGTGGATGACGTGAGCGTCGTGATTTTTTGGAAGGAACTTGCAGCTGATTAACCTCAGGTTTCAGCGTTCCTTGTGAAGGTCTATCCATGTTCGTTTGGGTCGTATCGGTTTTGGGTGTACTCACATCTACCGCAGAGTTGTTTCCGTTGATATGTACAACTGAGAAGGACAATCTGGTTGAACTGTTATCATTTTGTTCGTTGTTTAGAGCCCAAGTCTCAGACACAGCGGTCAGAAATGACCCGGTAGACAGTTTTCTTTTACGCAGAAAGCGACTTTTCCTCTTCACTGGAGTTCCACCCCCGCAGGCTTTTTCATGACGTGAAAATCGTTGATTGTGTTGTGAAACCAACGCAAAAAGTAAACAGTTCGATATGCACAAAAAACACAGCGGGATTATTTGTACAAGCACAATACGGAGCCATGTGTAAATCGCGTAATAGTTCGTGTGGTAGAAACTGGTCAGTTCGCTTTTGAGTTCCAGTGTTCCATTCTCTCGACTCAAGGTGATGACTTGGGTGGCAAAATATGGAGTATTGAACACCACGGCCACAAGAAAAATGACCAGCACAAGAAATCGGGTATTCCTTTGTGTGATGAAACGTTTTGCAACAGACCAGTGTTTCATTGTTACATAACGTTCTATTGCCAGCGTGACGGTAAGCCAGGCACTAATGTTTTCCGACATATTTGTCAAAGGGACTTCCACATATGTGCTGTATACGTACACATACAATACGGCATCGCTGTTGTACTCCGATATGATGGGAAAGCTGGAAAACAAAGATCAAGAACTAATTAAATTCATGGCTTTGATCATCTCAGAGGAGACTTGCACATAATTATTTACGCACGCTAAATTCTTCTCTATTTGAGCTTAATTAGATGGCGATAACAAAAGAACATGTGTTTATAGACATTAATTGAAAGGGAACGCAAAAGGGAACTCATTTCCCAAATCATAACTGTGGTCTCTTTTAAACAATCCCTGGAGAGATATAATATGAGAAAACTAAAGGTTCAAATTAGTTTACGCTATTGCCCGTCAAATGCTGAAGTAAATAAGAACACGCCTACTAACCCCAACCCGGATGACTACGATCTTCATTAGAAATGCATATCTATTGAGGGAAAAAAAAACCAAGCAGATGTGTAGACTATTGATACCGTAGCACAATCGCTTCACTGATTGTTTATAAGGCTGTAGTTGAGCTCAATGACCCAAAAGATCTAACTAACTCCAGGTCTACCGAATATATTGTTCTTGTTAATCTCAGTTGATTTCTCCCTATGTAAACCGACAATGTTTCGAACAGGGTGTTTCACGCAGAACATATTCTCGTTTTTCTTGACCGAAAACATCGAAATCTGAACCAGTGCAACATTTTCATGGTAATTAAAAATTAAAATTGGCTGGATCGTTGTCATTAAACTATGGTGACTCAGTCATTGACTTTCTTTACTCTTTCGATGCCCGCCTCGAGCCTGAACGTAGCTGCGATCACCCAATCCACTGTCTGTATTATTCTCTTATCTAGGTAATCGTTTGACGATCTATACTGATGCGTGTTTTGAAGTTAAAAAAAAATACATTTTGATCAAGTTTAGAAAGTTTAGTGTACGTGTTCTTACAGAAGTTGGGTTCGAATTGTTTGTTTTTGAAGTACTGCTAGGTGCCATCTCCTTCGATCACAGTGAAAGGTACCTGAATGGATTTACCTTGATTTATGGTATACGAAGTTATAACGACAAAGAAGCGATGAATGAAAGCACAAATTCAATCCATTCGGTTGAATAGGAAATCAAAAAATTATTTTGAAGACAAACAATAATAACTTAATTAGAATTCATATAATTTAGTTTACCTTTCGCAAGACCCCATTTTAAAAGCTGATCACTGTGTCGTTAAATATGTTTATGACTAGCTGGAATCACAAACTGAATGAACGTTCACGGACATAACTGCGGTCCGAATCCAGAACAGCACAGGTGAGAAACAAGTGAATTGACTACTCTGGCACCCAAAAGGCTACAGTACAACACCTGAATAACTCACCTAAATATGATTTGAACCTATATTTGTTAATAATAAACCAGGAAGCACATGCCTGTGACAGTGAGAGTTCTGAAAACGGAAGATTGAACCTTTGTCACACGTGCTTATAAAATCTACAGGTGACGAAATCTCTCCGCAATCGGCCTAGTTTTTGAGAGAAAATGTAGTGTTAAAAAATATGAGCCCTTTTAATGAATAAAGTACGCGGTAAATAAAAGTAATTTGAATTCCAACGAATTTTTTTCAGTGTGTTCTATCAAATGGACAGTGTGATGCAGTTCAAAGCGAGGCAGAGGTCAAAAACAATTATTTCACAATTTTGGGAATTTCTTTTCAAAAAGTATCAATTTCAGAGGCACAAATCATACTCAGGCAAATGTAAAGCATTTCAGAAATCAACAGTTTGATAGGCACTCAAATGAGCTGCTAAACAAAAATATGCGTTTTAACAAAGGGACACAAATATGGGTGGAACGAGTTTATGACAAACTGGTCCTGTCCGAATTTCATAACTGCCCTAATGCTCAATGGGTTGCATGAAAAATACTTCCAATGATGAGGAATAAACCTGTGGAAGATGTGGGGTGCTATTTTATGTCTAAATTAGGAATTTTATTTTTTGTTGCTTCAAATGTGGTCCGCAGAAAAGATCTCATTTCCCAGGCGACAGATTTGTGCTCCTAATAAGGATATCGGAAATGACAGTTTTGTGGTAGACATTGTCATCTTAGAAATGCAAGCATTTTCTGGAGTAATCAGCCATTTTTTAATAACTAATCTGACTTTATCATACTACACGGTTATACTGCATTCGCTTGAAATGCATAAGTTTGCTATTATCAACCGATATTTGATGAATCGTTCCGATACCCGTGAGCAGCAAGAAATACTGCCCAATCGTTTCAGTTATTATTTTATTACATTAGTTGATTCATAGATTTATTTAAGTCGAATTAACCTCGAACCCTTTTCTCTTTATCGTTTAAAGGTTTACACGTAGTTGAGAGTTAGGTAAACACATTGTAAAAAGGATTTGGAACAGATAAATCAAAAACATTACTACGTGATATACCAATGACACAAAAACAGACGCAAGTGCATGTAGCTGATCCCAAAGTTATGCTTCGTAAGCATAATGAAAGCAAAGTTTATGATGTTAGTATTTACTTTGTTTACTACGGAATACTAGACACCTTTATCCAGATTGGCGAGTTATGCAGTAGGAGCCCGGTCAAAAGAGTTCCAATGAAAACATTCGCAAAGTTAATTAAATTCAATTAGAAGAATTGCAATTCTGAAATTCTGAACTCGTATAACTCATGATGCAGATTCCCAAATGAATCCCGAATATATACAGTTAGCAATGGAATCTTCAACCCATGTCAAATTAGAGAGAGCTTCACTTTTAAATAATGTATTCGAACCTAACGCAGTCGGAATACCAATCGAGGTCCGTTCGATTAAGGAGAGTAAATAATAATAATACTATAAACATCAATCAGTTGCCATGATCATTATCACTGTTTTCTTAGGTCCTTGTTGCATATCCCGGATGGAGCACTTAGGTAACTGGACCGTACCAGAACTAGGCCTACTTTGTAAATTGCATCTATCATGATGTTAGTCGGAGAACT